TATATATATATATATATGCATTTAGCAGAAACTAGTTATTTAAACATACAGGCAATTCCATTATTTTAAGTATAGTTAGATTTGTATATATTTTGTTAACAAAAGAAAACCATCACAAATTAATTTATTTAAGACAATATTTTTTCAACAGTATTCCCTTATTTTTTTCAAAAAAAAAAACTTGTACTTACTTCTCAAAATCATCATCGCTACTTAAATAAATAATTGCAATATATTTAATATAAGTTTTATATATATAAGATTAATTTTTTATATCCATTATAAGATTTTTTCCATCCATCCACATATAGTTTAAATAAAATTTTGTAAATATATTAATATTAAAAATATTGTTCGTACTATACATATATAATATTATAAATAAATAATACTTATTATTATTATTTTTTAGGAACAAAATTGTTACGATTTAATGAGTAACAGATCTGTGGATAAGTTGAACGTATTTGTACTAATTTTTATAAAAATATGAAATATATATTGAATACATTTTTAGAAAAAAAGATGTGGAATGTTTTATTGATAATTAATGAAAATTTTTACATTTCTTGACGTTTCGAAGGTTTTGAACATTTCGGGCATACCTCCGAAAACTAATGGATGTGTGTGTGGTGCGTGCGATACCAATTTTTCTTGTCGACGATTTTGGGCGCACGGATCAACCGATTTGAATGGTTTAAAAACATTCGATTTCCTATTGATAGGGAGATGTGCTGATTAGTTTTTTGGCAAAGGCAGGTCTAGCCGTTAGGGAGATACGGATCAAAGAGTGCAGAAAATACAAATCGAGTTTTTGAGAGAACGAGTATCGGATTTGAATGATCTAAAAAACATTTAATTTTTAATGATCAGGAGAAGAGGTGATTATTTTTTGGCAAAGACAGGTCCCGCCATTTCGAAGATACAGAGCGAAATGTGCAAAAAATGGCAGTTTTTGAGTGAACTAAGCGTCCGATTTGATTGATCTAAAAAAACTTTCTGCTTGTATTGACAAAAACATTGCTTTTGAGGATAAATGGAAATTATTACATCTTTTTTTTGTTTTCTATAAAATATTTTTGTAATTTGGATTAAAAATAAAAAAATCCCAGACTAAGCACAGTCTAAGCGCCACTCTGGTACAAATGTTTACCCAAGTGCGTTTAGATTGTTTATGTTGGAGCCACTTTTCCAATTTTGAAAAAACTATTGAAAAATGTGAAAATGCCGCCAAGCTAAGCACAGTTCAAGTGAAAATGTCGTACAGAATTATTTGCAAATGCGTTTAGACTGTGACTATACGAGAGCACTTTTCAATTTTGTGTCGAAATAGGCACTATTTTTTTTTTGAAAAAATGAATTCGAAATGAATGACGATTGTTAATGTTTCTGGAGATAAATTGATTTATGATTTATAATTTACATTTGATTTGCTCACAGATATAACCATATAGCAAAAATAATGAAAGTTACACTATTTGTAATAATATATTTGAAAAGGTTTAAATTTTCTCGAGTACGGGAAGTTCCAGCAATTTGCCGTAAGGCACGATGCCAGGCACCACTAGTATAATCTTCAATTTATAATGTACAAAACAAGCTAATGCATAAATCATGCGAATTATCAACATAACTTTCGTTTTATACAGTTTAGTAGAATTAAATTACAAATTTAAATTACCGCTTAAATTTTGAAGTAGTCAAATAAAAAAAAGTTTATATTAATTAAATACAAAACCAAAACAACTTTATTTATATTATAAATAACACGAGTATTAACAACTTGTCAATTTAACAAATTAGTAAGAATTGAATTATTATTTTTTCAAATTTCCCGCCTCCCACCATTTTGTAACTTTCCAACTGTCAACGCGACTCCATCTTTTTCTTTCGAACACGTGAACTGTCAATGTGCAAAACTTGTTCATGATAATTTTAATTAAATATATGAAAATATATATAAATAAATTGAAATTATTGTATTAAATTAATTAGTAAAGATGGTTGAAAGGCAAAGACAACAAATCGAATATGAAATCACTAAAATGGTCGATGAAATGGACAAGGAGTATCTCGGAAGATACAGGTTAGTTGAGGTTATATTTGCCGGAATAGAAATATAATAATGGAATAATAATACATATATATATATATATATAAATATATATATATATATATATAATATATATATAATATATATATCGATATACTTTAACTCTACTTTACTATAAAAACTATTCAAGTACAATTAATAATTTACTCTATATATACTTTAACTATAGATTTCTATTATTACTAATTCAAGTACAAATTAATAATTATTTAATTTGGTTTGTTTAATTTCAAGGCAGATATGCACAGATGTGCAGCTAAATGCTGTGAAGACAAAGATTCAAGCCTCTCGTCAGTCCAGAGTTGTGTCGAAAGGTGCAGGCGGGCCTTTGATAAGGCTCACAGTATGTACAGGTATAAAAAATTTATAATAATATGTGTATATATGTATATATATATATATATATATATATATATATTATGTATATATTGATTTTCATTGATCTACTTGAAGTTTGTTCGGCGAAATTTTCTAGAATTTTTAGATTCATAGAAATATAGTTTGTGATTGTAGAAATAAATAGAAAAAATTACAAAAAACCGCTTATCATTGTTTGCCCTTGAAAATATTTGAAGCTTAGTTTGACATTAAAACAATTGAAGACTGTCATTTGCCAAACATTTCTACTCACTTATAGGCTAAGACAATATCAAATATAATAATTCATGATTTAAATAAGGAAAATGTAATGTCTACATTATTATTGCCGAAAAGCAGCTGAGATGTGCCAAAAATTGAAATAATATAATAAAATAGAGTCAACAAGTGATGCAGTTCTGCGCCGGCGTCTCACGTTTGTGAAATGTCAGTTCAATGTAATTACATACCCTATTAAAATTCAATTTGAAAGATTATTATTTTTTTACTAAATATTAAGAAAAATTAAAAGCGTTGTTTTTGCTAATATCTTCAGAAATATACATTTTAACAAAAAATAATGAATGAGCAAAAATTATATAAATTATATCCTAATAAATCACTGTTTTATGTGTTCTAGGAACAATATTAGCTAGATATGAAATGGGGTTTTTATAGTCCTCAAATAAGCTTTAAAATAAATATTTCTGCATGTAAAATGAGTGAGCTATCATGCAAATAAAAGACGCATACAATGTTTTTTTCATTTGAATCAAATAGTTTATGAGTGCCATTTCCAGCAAATTAAAAATAATCGTATTCTATCTAGAATCAACTTGGTTTAAGAGATCTTGATGGATTCTAGAAAACTATAACTTTAGTACAAACGATTTTCAAAAAACTCATGATTCCATGAAAAAATCCATTAAAAAAACAACCAATTTCTCATTATTATATCTCTGAAAGAATAAAAGATCGTATAAAGGTGTATAATGAAAATGCAAGGTCTTTTTCTGACTAATTATTGCTTTTTATTATTTTTTTGGTACACAAATATTGATAGAGTATAATTATTTAAGAGTGCAAGGCAGGTAAACCAGAGTGTCTTTCAAGCTTTTTAACCCTTCGCCTGTTTCAAAATAAGAAAAGTTACGTAAAATTTATGATAGAGAAAGTTATAGGTCATTTAATTTGATAAAATCAGAATTAAAAAGAGTTATAATCCAATTAAGCCGGGGTGGGTGAAAGAGTGCATTGTTTTCCCTTCTGAACTTAGATAAGATTAGCATATTCCCCAAATATCAAGCACAGTAAAAAAATAGCTGGGCACATGCTTTTTCCTCTCTATTCACTGCAATATATTTTGTTGATCGTAGGTTGAATAGAGCACATAGAATAGGATTTGTCAAAATAATCCACTTCAAATATGAACTTAAGTAATAATGTGTATATTGAATTATTAGTGAGAAAAATGTAATTTAGATATTAAATACTTAAAGCCAGTTAATATATGGTACGAAATTATAAATATTATAGGCAACATTTTTGAAGCAATTCAAGTGATATTGTACCTATACCGCGAATGCGATATATTAATTCTTTCTGAATTTGTTATACCCCTTAAAAGACTTCAATTTCCAATACGTATATCTTATGATATAAATCACAAGGCAGACGATTTTTTGTGTGATAAATTTGGAAAATCAATGTTTTAGTCGCGAATAAACAAAAATCATTCATTTATATATCCACATCTACAGGTATACTAAAAATATTGTATAAACCCTTGCATTAAAATAAATTGAGGTAATGGAAATAAATTTTTTCTATTAATTGCAGTGTAGAATTTTTAATTACAATTTTATTGAACATATTTGTTAAGGGATAATTAAAGTGTTAACTGTGGAAATTGGGAATCATCATTTTATTTGAAGTAGTTCTACTTTAACATCACTCATATATTGGTGTAAATAGTAATTTGAAAAAACAATAATTATTATTTTTAACCTAACAGTGTAATATTAGTATAGGATATTAAAAATGTAGATGTGGGTACAGGGCAAGGTCTGTCGGGTCATCTAGTATATATATATATATATATGATATAGATTATATATAATTTAAAAGTAAACCTCTGATGCAACTTTCAACAAAGTTTGCATTGAACATTCAAAGCTTCAATGTTTATAGTAGATTGTCTGCAGTAAAGTGTTTGAAATTGTTATAGATTGTCTAAAAAAAAATTACTATTTCATTAAAACATTTCACTTCATCTACACAAATTAGTCTTATCACTAACTATTATTTTTTTTATTTAGGGTGAATTAGAGGGCTTCCAAGGACGTCTCCAAAGATGTGTCATGCAGTGCAACGACGACATTAAAGACATGATGGGACCAACGCCAAGCGATAAAGACGTAAATATCAAATCAAATAAAACTCGTTTTCTTTACCAATTTAATTTTATTTTATTTCTTTATCAGGTTGATAAGTTCACCCACAAATTCGAATCGTGTGCCATAAAATGTGTGGACAAGCACATAGAACTACTACCTCAAATGATGAAAGCCATGAAGCACGTACTTAGCAAAGAACAAATCAATTGATAAGAAGAATTCTATTATAAATCATTAATAGAATTGTTAACATGTGTAGTAATGGTAGAAGAAACGTATTTGTAATTTACTTTTGCATTTATAATATGTATAAATGTAAAAAAAATATCGGCGTCGTTCTGTATATTTGTTATAGTACCTCGAATTGTTTATAATAAAGATAGTATTGATAAAATTGATTATTTGTATATTGGCTTGTTTATTAATAAGTTGTTAATGTAAAAGATGTGTTTAATAAAAGTTAAATACATCGAAAGTAATAAAAGCTATATATATCTTTATATATATATATATATATATATATATATATTATTTCTATATATTTATGAATGTTAGTAAAATAAAAAACTATTTGAATGGTTTGCTATGATATGAATACTCGGCAGAATTGATTCATCAATGCATAAGAGCTGTTTGTTTTTAAGATTAAAACAGTCGTTTCTATTTATAAAAATATTATACAATTATTATTAATAATTAGTAATACTCAGTTAAAAAAATTTATATCGTTATCAGAAGTTTTTGTATGAATGAAATATATTGAGTCGAATAGTCACTAAGTATTGTTTGGAGTACAACAGATGTCTCTACCCATTTTGTGTAAAACTATGAAAGATATACATATATATAATATATATATATTATATCTTTCATATTTTACACAAAATGGGTAGAGACATCTGTTGTACTCCCAAACAATACTTAGTGACTATTCGACTCAATATATTTCATTCATACAAAAACTTCTGATAACGATATAAATTTTTTTAACTGAGTATTACTAATTATTAATAATAATTGTATAATATTTTTATAAATAAGAAACGACTGTTTTAATCTTAAAAACAAACAGCTCTTATGCATTGATGAATCAATTCTGCCGAGTATTCATATCATAGCAAACCATTTCAAATTAGTTTTTTATTTTACTAACATTCATAAATATATATAATATATATATATATATATATATTATATATATATAAATATATATATATAGCTTTTATTACTTTCGATGTATTTCACTTTATTAAACACATCTTTTACATTAACAACTTATTTAATAACAAGCCAATAATACAAATAATCAATTTTATCAATACTATCTTTATTATAACAATTCGAGGTACTATAACAAATATACAGAACGACGCCGATATTTTTTTTACATTTTATACATATTTATAAATGCAAAAGTAAATTACAAATACGTTTCTTCTACCATTACTACACATGTTAACAATTCTATTAATGATTTATAATAGAATTCTTCTTATCAATTGATTTGTTCTTTGCTAAGTACGTGCTTCATGGCTTTCATCATTTGAGGTAGTAGTTCTATGTGCTTGTCCACACATTTTATGGCACACGATTCGAATTTGTGGGTGAACTTATCAACCTGATAAAGAAATAAAATAAAATTAAATTGGTAAAGAAAACGAGTTTTATTTGATTTGATATTTACGTCTTTATCGCTTGGCGTTGGTCCCATCATGTCTTTAAATGTCGTCGTTGCACTGCATGACACATCTTTGGAGACGTCCTTGGAAGCCCTCTAATTCACCCTAAATAAAAAAAATAATAGTTAGTGATAAGACTAATTTGTGTAGATGAAGTGAAATGTTTTAATGGAAATAGTAAATGTTTTTTTAGACAATCTATAACAATTTCAAACACTTTACTGCAGACAATCTACTATAAACATTGAAGCTTTGAATGTTCAATGCAACTTTGTTGAAAGTTGCATCAGAAGGTTTACTTTTAAAATATATATATATATATATATATATATATATATATATATACTAGATGACCCGACAGACCTTGCCCTGTACCCACATCTACATTTTTTTAATATCCTATACTAATATTTACACTGTTCAGTTAAAAATAATAATTATTGTTTTTCAAATTACTATTTACACCAATATATGAGTGATGTTAAATGTAGAACTACTTCAAATAAAATGATGATTCCCAATTTCCACAGTTAACACTTTAATTATCCCTTTAACAAATATGTTCAATAAAATTGTATATTAAAAATTCTACACTGCAATTAATAGAACAAAATTTATTTCCATTACCTCAATTTATTTTAATGCCAAGGGTTATACAATAATTTTAGTCATACCTGTAGATGTGGATGTATAAATGAATGATTTTTTGTTTATTCACAACTAAAACATTGATTTTCCAATTTATCACACAAAAATCGTCTGCCTTGTGATTTATATCATAAGATATACGTATTGGAATTGAAGTCTTTTAAAGGGTATAACAAATTCAGAAGAATTAATATATCGCATTCGCGGTATAGGTACAATATCACCTTGAATTGCTTCAAAAATGTTGCCTATAATATTTATAATTTCGTACCATATATTAACTGGCTTTAAGTATTTTATATCTAAATTACATTTTTCTCACTAATAATTCAATATACATTATTACTTAAGTTCATATTTGAAGTGGATTATTTTGACAAATCCTATTCTCATGTGCTCTATTCAACCTACGATCAACAAAATTATTGCAGTGAATAGAGAGGAAAAAAGCATGTGCCCAGCTATTTTTTTACTGTGCTTGATATTTTGGGAATATGCTAATCTTAATCTTAAGTTCAGAAGGGAAAACAACTTGCACTCTTTCACCACCCCCGGCATTAATTGGATTATAACTCTTTTAATTCTGATTTTATCAAAATTAAATGACCTATAACTTTCTCTATCATAAATTTTACCGTAACTTTTCTTATTTTGAAACGGCGAAGGGTTAAAAGGCTTGAAAGACACTCTGGTTTACTGCCTTGCACTCTTTAAATAATTATAACTCTATCAATATTTGTGTAACAAAAAAATAATAAAAAGCAATAATTAGTCAGAAAAAGACCTTGCATTTTCATCTATACACCTTTATACGTATCTTTTATTCTTTCAGAGATATAATAATGAGAAATTGGTTGTTTTTTTAATGGATTTTTTCATGGAATCATGAGTTTTTTGAAAATCGTTTGTACTAAAGTTATAGTTTTTCTAGAATCCATCAAGATCTCTTAAACCAAGTTGATTCTAGATAGAATACGATTATTTTTAATTTTGCTGGAAATGGCACTCATAAACTATTTGATTCAAATGAAAAAAACATTGTATGCGTCTTTTATTTGCATGATAGCTCACTCATTTTACATGCAGAAATATTTATTTTAAAGCTTATTTTGAGGACTATAAAACCCCATTTCATATCTAGCTTAATATTGTTCCTAGAACACTATAAAACAGTGATTTATTAGGATATTAATTTATATAATTTTGCTCATTTCATTATTTTTGTTAAAATGTATATTTCTGAAGATATTAGCAAACAACGCTTTTAATTTTTCTTTAATATTTAGTTAAAAAATAATAATCTTTCAAATTGAATTTTAATATAGGGTATGTAATTACATTGAACTGACATTTCACAAACGTGAGACGCATGCGCAGAACTGCATCACTTGTTGACTCTATTTTATTATATTATTTCAATTTTTGGCACATCTCAGCTGCTTTTCGGCAATAATAATGTAGACATTACATTTTCCTTATTTATAATCATGAATTTATTATATTTTGATATTGTCTTAGCCTATAAGTGAGTAGAAATGTTTGGCAAATGACAGTCTTCAATTGTTTTTAATGTCAAACTAAGCTTCAAATATTTTCAAGGGCAAACAATGATAAGCGGTTTTTTGTAATTTTTTCTATTTATTTCTACAATCACAAACTATATTTCTATGAATCTAAAAATTCTAGAAAATTTCCCGAACAAACTTCAAGTAGATCAATGAAAATCAATATATACATATATATATATATATATATATATATATATATACATATATACACATATATTATATAATTTTTTATACCTGTACATACTGTTGAGCCTTATTCAAAGGCCCGCTGCACCTTTCGACACAACTCTGGACTGACGAGAGGCTTGAATCTTTGTCTTCACAGCATTTAGCTGCACATCTGTGCATATCTGCCTTGAAATTAAACAAACAAATTAAATAAATTATTAATTTGTACTTGAATTAGTAATAATAGAAATCTATAGTTAAAGTATATATAGAGTAAATTATTAATTTGTACTTGAATTAGTTTTTATAGTAATAGTAGAGTTAAAGTATATATATATATATATATATATATATATATTATATATATATATATATATTTATATATATATATATATATATATTATTATTCCTATTATTATATTTCTATTCCGGCAAATATAACCTCAACTAACCTGTATCTTCCGCAGATACTCCTTGTCCATTTCATCGACCATTTTAGTGATTTCATATTCGATTCTTTGTCTTTGCCTTTCAACCATTTTTACTAATTTAATTTAATACAATAATTTCAATTTATTTATATATATTTTCATATATTTAATTAAAATTATCATGAACAAGTTTTGCACATTTGACAGTTCACGTGTTCGAAAGAAAAAGATGGAGTCGCGTTGACAGTTGAAAGTTACAAAATGGTGGGAGGCGGGAAATTTGAAAAAATAATAATTCAATTCTTACTAATTTGTTAAATTGACAAGTTTTTAATACTCGTGTTATTTATAATATAAATAAAGTTGTTTTGGTATTTAATTAATTATAACTTTACTTTTTATTTGATACTTCAAAATTTAAGCGGTAAATTTAAATTTGTAATTTAATTTCTACTAAAACTTGTATAAAACGAAAGTTATGTTGATAATTCGCATGATTTATGCATTAGCTTGTTTTGTACATTATAAATTGAAGATTATACTAGTGGTGCATGGCATCGTGCCTTACGGCAAATTGCTGGAACTTCCCGTACCTCGAGAAAATTTAAACCTTTTCAAATATATTATTACAAATAGTGTAACTTTCATTATTTTTGCTATATGGTTATATCTGTGAGCAAATCAAATGTAAATTATAAATCATAAATCAATTTATCTCCAGAACATTAACAATCGTCATTTCATTTCGAATTCAATTTCAAAAAAAAAATAGTTGCCTATTTTCGACACAAAATTGAAAAAGTGCTCTCGTATAGTCACAGTCTAAACGCATTTGCAAATAATTCTGTACGACATTTTCACTTGAACTGTGCTTAGCTTGGCGGCATTTTCACATTTTTCAATAGTTTTTTCACCAAATTGGAAAAGTGCTCCAACATAAACAATCTAAACGCACTTGGGTAAACATTTGTACCAGAGTGGCGCTTAGACTGTGCTTAGTCTGGGATTTTTTTTTAATTTTTAATCCAAAATTACAAAAATATTTTATAGAAAACAAAAAAAGATGTAATAATTTTCCATTTATCCTCAAAAGCAATTGTTTTGTCAATACAAGCAGAAAGTTTTTTTAGATCAATCAAATCGGACGCTTAGTTCACTCAAAAACTGCCATTTTTTGCACATTTAGCTCTGTATCTTCGAAATGGCGGGACCTGTCTTTGCCAAAAACTAATCACCTCTTCTCCTGATCATTACAAATTAAATGTTTTTTAGATCATTCAAATCCGATACTCCGTTCTCTCAAAAACTCGATTTGTATTTTCTGCACTCTTTGATCCGTATCTCCCTAACGGCTAGACCTGCCTTTGCCAAAAACTAATCAGCACATCTCCCTATCAATAGAAATCGAATGTTTTTTAAACCATTCAAATCGGTTGATCCGTGCGCCCAAAATCGTCGACAGAAAAATTTGTATCCGCACGCACCACACACACATCCATTAGTTTTCGGAGGTATGCCCTTTAGAAATGTTCAAAAACCTTCGAAACGTCAAGAAATGTAAAAATTTTCATTAATTATCAATAAAACATTCCACATCTTTTTTTCTAAAAATGTATTCAATATATATTTCATATTTTTATAAAAATTAGTACAATACGTTCAACTTATCCACAGATCTGTTACTCATTAAATCGTAAACAATTTTGTTCCTAAAAAATTATAATAATAATATATTTATTTATTTATAATATATATATATGTATAGTACGAACAATATTTTTAATATTAATATATTTACAAAATTTTATTTAAACTATATTGTGGATGGATGGAAAAATCTTTATAATGGATATAAAAAATTAAATCTTATATATATAAACTTATATTAAATATATTGCAATTATTTATTTAAGTAGCGATGATGATTTTGAGAAGTAAGTACAAGTTTTTTTTTTTGAAAAAATAATGGAAATACTGTTGAAAAAATATTGTCTTAAATAAATTAATTTGTGATGGTTTTTCTTTTGTTAACAAAATATATACAAATCTCAACTATACTTAAAATTAATGGAATTGCCTGTATGTTTAAATAACTAGTTTCTGCTAAATGCATATATATATATATATATATATACTATATATATATATATATATATACATATATATATACATATATATATATATATACATATATATATATATATATATATATTATTTAGCAGATTTCATTTACCCTAGATATATATATTTATATATATTTTTGTATTTATTTAAATCATCTTTTTCACTTTTTTAAAATCCCGTCACCTTCTAATATTTTTGGTGATTTTTTATATGATTCGTTTTATTACTTTTTTTAATGAAATTTTATTTTTTCAAAAAAGTATCGATCGTGTACTTTCACCCCAAAAAAAGGAAATATATTGAAATTTCAATAAACTCGAAAAAAAATTGAAGCAAAACTTCTTAGGCGACTTCCAACAAGGATAAAAAATTTTTTTTAAGATGTTTGTAGATTGTTTTAGTATGTTGTAGATTGTTTTAGGATGTTGTAGATTGTTTTAGAGTGTTGTAGATTGTTTAAAAATGTTGTGATTTGTCTGAAAATATTGTAAATTATCTGAAAATGTTGTGAGTTGTCTGAAAATATTGTTAATTGTCTGAAAAGGTTGTAAGTTGTCTGAAAATTTTGTGGGCCGTCTGAAAATGTTGTAAGTTACTTGAAAATATTGTGAGTCGTCTGAAAATTTTGAAAATCGACAAAAAAAATGTTGTGGGTCGTCTTAAAATTTTGAAAATCGTCAAAAAAAATGTTGTGGGTCGTCCGAAAATATTGTGAGTCATCCGGAAATTCTGTGAGTAGTCTGAAAATTTTGAAAATCGACAAAAAAAATGTTGTGAGTCGTCTGGAAATTCTGTGAGTCGTCTTAAAATGTTGTGAGTCTTCTGAAAATGTTGAAAATTGACAAAAAAAAATGTTGTGAGTCTTCAGAAAATGATGAAAATCGACAAAAAAATTCTGTGAGTTGTCTGAAAATTTTGAAAATCGACAAAAAAAATGTTGTGAGTCGTCTGAAAATGTTGTGAGTCATATGAAAATGTTGTGAGTTGTCCGAAAATTTTGAAAATCGACAAAAAATGTTGTAAAATATCTAAGCATGTTGTAAATTGTCTGAGAAAATTGTAAATTGTCTGAAAATGTTGCAAATCGTCTTAAAATATTTTGATTTGTCTGAAAATATTGTAAGTTGTCTGAAAATGTTGTAAATTGTCTGAAAATGCTAAAAATCGACTAAAAATGTTGTAAGTAGTCTAAAAATGTTATAAATCGTCAGAAAATATTGCAAATCCTCTAAAAATGTCGCAAGTCGTCTGAAAATGTTGTAAATCATCTAGAAATGTTGTATTTTGTCAAAATATGTTTTATTTCACCTGAAAATGATATAAATCGTCTAGAAAAGTTTAGAACGTTATTTCAAATACTCTACTATATAAAAGACACTTAAAATTAATTTCCATAAGATTCACTTAAGAAAATGTTTATATTTAATATTTTCTTTACTTATAAACGTAACCTTTACGTTCCTGTTACGTAACTGTTACGTTCTCGTTACGTTAAACACCTACATCTATTCATTATTATCTTTTTATTCTTGTTTTCAATATATTTCCAAATTTCATATCCTTCGTCCACGATCGATTCTCTCTCTATATATAAATATATATGTAAATGGAATAAAAATTATAAAATACGAATAGAATTAAAAACAAAAAAATTCATCATGATTGCATATTTACAAAACAAAAATTACAAAGAAACCACATTTCGTTCTTATTAACATAATTAACGACAACTATAAATTTTTTTTACAATCGTAGAAAATTTATTATTAAAAAATATAAATTTAATAAGACACTTATTAAAATTAGAAACTAGGTCATCACATATTTGCGTACGGGGGAAAAAATAGTAAAAAGATTTTTTTAGTAAAAAAAAAAAATTTTAAAGTTTTATTTACAAATATTTTGTAAAATTGTGGATTATTCGATGGATATTATTTATTATCGTAAAATTCCATTAGACAATAATTAAAAAATTATAATAACCTTATAATTAATTTGTCTAAACAATAAAAAAAATCCATCGAATAACTTTTAGTTAGAAAAAAAACAATCAAAAATTGTATGTATAATCATGGGAGGTAAACTTAGAACAAATGCGCTTTACTGCATATTAGTGTTTTCAGCATATCACAGATGGCGCTGGTGTGCTTCAAATTATAAATGAATATAAATTTATTTATTTCAGCGTTCGTTTTAAAAAAACACACAGTTTCTCTAAATATATAGTACACGTACTTTATTGTTTAACTACTAATTTTATATATTGGAATATGTCTTTTTTGAATAAAAAAAAAGTTCAAATTTTTTACAACATATTTATAATTTTGTTGAAAATATATTTTACACCGTATATTTTGTTTTCATTTCATTAGTTCAAATTAATCAGGTTTATCTTTTCATATAAATATTTAAATAATCGTATCCTAGAATTGAACCTAAGGGTAATTTACGTGCTACGGTCGGTGGCGCCATCTATGATATGCTGAAAGAACTAAAATCGATCGATCTATGATATTTATCTATGGTATATACATAAAAGGCACTTTTCGACGTAAAAAAGTTGGCCAATTTTATTAAAGTCTTTTTACGTAATTATTTAAAGTAGACACCGTGTGCTTAAATATTAATACAAATGTGTTTCGATCAGTCTTGCAATTTTTTTCATATGATAAGTAGTAGTCGTGTGATAGTAATTATAAAGTGCGCATGTTATTTTTTTGTAATACGATAGTACAAAAATATAAGCATTTTGGTTTTATATATTTAAAGCCTAATCGAGTTATTCCCACATTGTTCTACAATTTTTGTTTAATTAAAGTACGCAAAAAATATATAATCTTATTTTTAATAAGTATTCGAATTGTATATACATATACATGATATATGTATATATATATATATATATATGTATATGTATATACATTATAATTTATTATACATTGTCATTAATATGTTAAAAAATTTCGTTTTTTTTTCATTAAGTATTTAATATTAGGCGACTCACATTCGCTCTCAGTCTCCAGTTTTGCATTTATTTATTTAAATCATATGTATATATATGCTTTAT